AAGATCGTGACAGGAGATTCAGAAGAAAATTCAAAACAAATTCAAGATTGTTGCGGAGACGATGTGCTGAAAGAACTTACTGAAAACAAAGCTGGTGGCTTCCAAATAAAGTGTAGAGGAGAGAAAGACGASGTTATTGCAGGGAAAGAGATCAAGAACTCCCCACAGAACGTTGATGAAACTATCGTACAGTTTAAACAATTGAGATTGATTGACACCAAAGATATGCGTGATAGGACATTTCCACCTGTTTCACTTGCTGTAAATGACAGAGGCGACATAGCTGTGCTTGTTGGTCGAGAGAGCCGATACGGAAAGGTTGTAGAGTTCAATGCACATGGAGATTATTTGCGAGAGTTCGGACCAAGAGACGGTCAACTTACCAATCCACAAGGTATTGTCTACAATGAAAACAAAATAGTCATTACTGACAATGGTCCAATTGATTACACTTATAGTGGCAGAATACAGRAATTTGGACAGAGAACTCTCTTTAAGCTGCCCTTTGGAATGACGTTTCAAGGAATGTGTATAGTGAATCAAGGCATTGCGTGTTTGAGTCATGATTCCGTAGCCATGACGTCATATATTAACATATTTGATAAACGCAGTGGCRCTCATCTTCACGAAATCAAGCTAGATACTCCTAATGATGTTCAAGGGTGGCCCTTCTTTTTAACYTATGACAACAATAAGTACTTTGTCTCGTTTCAATTTACCCAAAGCATTTACGTTTTTGACAAGAATGGATGCCTATTGTGCAAATTTGGAGAAAAAGGCTCCAATGATGGTCAATTTCGTGGCTCCGTGTGCGGTCTTGCAGCGTTTGGTAAAGAAATGGTTCTTGCTTGTGATCCACTTAACCACCGCGTACAAGTCTTCAGACAAGACGGGCAGTTCATAACGTCCTTTAGCGGTTCAGGTCTTAATCRCATGGCCTATCCCTTTGATGTTGTTGTTACTCAATATGGTCAAATATTKGTGCTTGAAGAAAAAGGTTATAGTAGAGTGCAGGTGTGGCAATGGAAAGAGATCTGATTCAAACACTTCCTAAACATTAGCTCTTACCTATAGATGGTGCTTTGTGTCGAAAATGTGAAAAAAAAGCATGCCAAATAAACTATACATGTTATATGTTAAGGGTACAATGGCAATTTTTCACATTTAAGTAAGCCTACACTGTAAAAACGGATGAGCCCCGAGGTGGGGGTTKGGGCCGACTCCCTCGTATTTAGGGTGCAGTTTCAGAAATGTTAAAAATGCCCCTATAAAAGATACCAGGCTTTTACGAGAAAGGTAGTGGCAAAACAATCATGTCAGGGTTGTACACTACTGTTAGAATAAAAATTGTGATTTGATGAAATAATAAAGRTAGRCAGGTAATGCAAGAAACGAAGATGTCCAGTAGAACAATAGGTATTTTGTGACATAATCCTACAATTCTTTTCTTTTTTTGTTTCGATCAATCACAAGCKTTGTTCTGAGAGTAKTTGTCRACCCTTATTTCAACCCTAAAAGATACATTGAAACTAAAAATTGGCAAAATTAGTAATTATTTGGWTTATACTTTTTCACTCTTTTAGTGTTTACAACTGATCTACATAAGCAAAGACACGAGGTATATTTGATAATAAACGCTTTACTTTAATACCTAAAATCGTGGATTACAACAGTAACTATATTGAATCATTCTTCTAATAATCGTATTTCATCTAATATACTAGCTGTACTAACTATCATATTTCTAATTTTTAACAATAATTTGATTTGAACAATAATTAATTCATATATGCACATGTTCATACAAAAATATTTTCTTTGATTGTTGAGCCATTGATTTTTYTTTAATGATTTGATATTTATGAATATTAGATAATGGTGATAACTGTGTTAAAAGAAACGTAAAAATATACACTATATATATGTATGGAATGCAGGAGGAAATCAGGGCTATCCCATCATGCACTGCAAGAATTTTTATTCCATGAAAGCACTGAACAATGCATTTCTACAATCCTTTGCGATAGATACAATGGAATAGATCAGGAGGAGCCAACGGCAGTTKGTCGACCACAGAGCGTTCAGGCTTGGGTTTAAACAAGCACGTAAATTAAACTGGCCAATCAAAAACTAGCWAGCATCAGTTCGCAAAGRCTCATGGGAYATCCCTGGTCCARAGTCAGACTACACGTCTAAATATATATTTGCAAAAACATATTTAAAATACAACTAAATATTCAGCGGGATTTGTATATACATATTGCTCTAAGTACGTTTYCAGTTTTCCCTGAGCCCACGTTAGTCTGTTACTGCGGCTATGAGTAAAAAAAATATCATTCAATGGGGCCTTGGGTACAAGAATATCTAAATATCAGCGGTAGAGCGTGCACAGTGGTTAAATTTACAGATTCAAGTGTTTTAAAAAAAGCGCCTTTATATTGAGTTGAAGTTTTTCTTTCTTTCAACTTTCAAATATTGATACACAGATGTTTTTCTTGATAAAATCGCGATAAACTCGGAATGAAAACCAAAACTACCTTTCAAGATGGTGCAGCCGATCTGTGGGTGAGACAATTCATGCCTTTTCGWCTAAATAGTTTAAGAGTTCAAAATGTCGTGAGGAGATGTGGCTAATAATGTAATGACAGATGACATGTTTGAGAAGAATGCCCCATAATCCCTTTCGGTCCTGTCATRACGATTTCTTTCGACAAACGTCATATGTGAAAGTAGATTTATTCATCAATGAGACCACTTCAGAGATGTGTGCGGGCTTTCAATGCGATAAAATGAGCAAAAAACGACCTATTTTCGGTGTTCCGAGACTTGCGTGATTTTCACCCCAAAATGCCTCACTTTCATGCGTGCGCCTTCAATATTTTTGAAAGCGGTCAGTCATCTCGAAAGTCTTTAAAAGGATTGTCAGAATTCAAAATATATGACACATAGAATCTGATGTCGAAAAGGTAACTGGGAAAAGGCAATTATATTATCATGATATTTCCTTATAAAATATATTAATTCATTTAATCGATCAACGTGCTTTAGTAAGCTACGTTTTCCCTATTGGATTTCCTGTGGTAACGAGAAGAGGAAAACTGGAACCAAAACAGATGAAGAGTAATAACGACGAAGAGCAAGTCCTTTCTAGATGGGGAGAGCCTACGTAGCACTCAGTTGATGTAATATATTCATAAAGATATAATACAAAACACATAATACAATAGAACGAGGAACAATGGAATACAATACATTTTATGAATACATTACATCAACTGCGTGCTACGTAGGTCACCCCTTTCTAGGTGTTTACAAAATGGCATGTACACTCACCCCAGTCTTTCCTTGGCAAACAACAGGAAGCCCGAAAAGAAAAAATATTGTCTACTGAGGAAGCTATATATTAGACATAGCACGCRCGCTAAGTACACCTTTCCCATGTAACCTTTCGGCCTCAGACTCTAAGCACCGTGTTTTTGTAGCCTACCACTTGGTTTAAGTACTAGATAGCTGCCTCTGTCATTAGCAGCGAGTTGATAGCAGGCAATGTGTCATGTCCTTCGCCGCAGTCATCCTTCTCTAACTCACATTCGCCATTGAATAATTTGTTTACAGCAATATCGATGTACTCTTCTTGATCATGGCTCATCACGTGATCTTCCACCACGTGACCAGCTTCGCTGTAAACGCTGCCATTGTTACAGGATATCACGTGGGTAGTTGTTACGTCAGATGGGTGACCGTTGAAAGGGGCGAAATACGCATGCGTCATCATGCGGCCATAACTGTTGTCAAGTCGTTGTGGGTCACTAGGATACGCCTGTKATGACAAACAAGAGTTCAGCCCTGTATTCCCAAAAGTCTTTCGGAAATCTCTTTCGAGCTTTTGCTCATGTTTGAAAGTAAAACTTCTTCGTAATATAAGCAAAAATTTACTCTTTATTATCCCTTTATACTATATGAATCCTAATGTGAATGGAGATACTGTAAGATTCGACCTTAAAACCGATGGATGGAAAGATATTGCGAATGGATATTCGAAGTCACCTCATTTTTTATATATAAAAAAATCTAAAACACGACCGCATTGAATGCTGGTGGTCCATGTTCCTTTAGCCAATACAGTAACCACTCGACACGGATTCTGATCAAAAGATACATTTCCTAATAGCATTCAATATTTCAATAATCAATCAATAATTATTTGTTAGGATTCTTACCTGTCTCGAAGGCATATAGTTATTATTGACGGGAGCGGCTACATATCCCCCAAGACCACAATTCTGAAAGTGCTGCGACACYAGTTTATCAATCACGTCAGGGGAGGGGTCAGGCTCCCTGCTATCGTATGCGCACGACCGCTTACCACTGGAAAGCCCCGTATAAGTAACTAGTGCYTGGCCATTGTTATGTTGTCTAGACGACGAAATCGCAGGGGAAACAGGAGGTGTGAGGACTGGGGCGAACTGACCAGGAWAGTAGTTCTCCCTAGGCGAATGCTGACCAGGATAGTAATTCTCCCTAGGCGTAGGCATTACAAATCCTCCATTTGSTTCTAAAGGTGTTGGGGGAAGACCGCTCTCCTTATAACCATGTGAACTCGGGCGAGAAAGCTTCTTGAGTCGATGCGTTTTTCTGTCGTCACGTGATTTTGTTCGCTTCTTTTTATTGGCTGGTTTAGCGTCCGTGTCRATATCGCCTTTTTTGGATCTAGGAAGGCTATCGGCCATGTCGGGAACTGTGAATTTTGTTCTTGTAACGACTGTTTGTACTCGAAGAGGGGAGTTATCTTTGTCGATTCCTTCACCTGGACGCGAAAAAAGCAAAAGGTAAGACCCTKCATATAGAGTCAACGCAACAAGTAGTAACTATTTTTTATTATTAACTATGTTATTACTAACTATTTTTTATTAGTAACTAGTTCTTATTTACTGACTAATTGTATGTAATTGTAGATATCACTGGACCAGAACAATTCATGAAAACATCGAGGTTAAAAAAATGAATACAATGTTCGCCTTAATGGAATATTACGGACACCCCTATATTTCGGACACCCGTACATTACGGACACCTCTACATTACAGACACCTCATTATTACGGTCACCTCTATATTACAGACACCTCTACATTACGGACACTACTATATAAAAGACACCTCTATATTACAGACACCACTATATAACGGTCACCTCTACATTACGGTCACCTCTATATTACGGTCACCTCTACATTACGGACACCTCTACATTACATACACCTCTATATTACAGACTCCTCCACATTACGGACACCTCTATATTACGGACACCTCTACATATCGGACACATCTACATTACAAAACAGGATACCATTACATTAATAAAATGCAACATACCCATTTTCAGATGTCTGTCCAAAAGTTCTTGCAGTTTTTCTTCCATCTCGTTATAAAACCGTGTTTCGATGATCAAGAGCATGTACTCGTCCATCAACATACGAATGAGATGAAAGGAACCTGGAAAATACAAACCGTGTTGACAATGTCTAGATATAGAATCAAACACTAGAGCGWGRGTAAACTGCTGTGAAAAACTATGAATGGACGTTGTYGCAAGGAAATTGCAAGGATCTCGTACGACCAAAAGGAGCTATGAATTTTCTGAGCAGTATGCATTTGCAATTGTGAGGTGATTCCACACATTTTGAGGTGATTCAATACTGGTCTAGACGCCAGGCTACTCACGGCCAATCGTTCAATATGAAGTCATTTGCTGTGAGAGACTCAAGCCTTTCTTGCCTCTTTCAGTCAAAAAAAAAAAAACAGCTAAAATCATTTCCTTTGATTTATTGGTTGTTTTCCCTCATTCCATTGAATGGATGCTGCTGGAACGTGACCAAAAGTCCTAAATCCCCGACTATAAAGTGTAAATTCCCCGACCATCCCGGGGTTAGGGTGCCGGGTTTTTAGTTCATACATTAGTWTCGTTATATTTCTCTTACCGAAGCAAGATGAAGCGTTCAGTGTCAGATTATGCATCAGACGAGCACCTAGGAATGACCATCTTAGCAAAAAGTCTTGTGCGCGGTTCTTGAAATCGGCCCCAGTCTCTACACAAGTCTGAAAAATKTAACATTTATTTTGTCAGTTTATTCCATTTGGCTAGTAAGCGTGTCAGGTGTAAAGACAGTGAAATGGTTGAATTGAATATAAGATTTATATAAATTTGTTGTTGTAGTTGTTGTTTTTTCTTGGTTGGTTGGCTGCCTTGCTGGCAGGTTGGTTGGTTGGTAAGTTAATTATAATTGGTAAGTAAATTATAATTGGTTGGTTGGTTAGTCAATAAACCCTTTTAGCGATCTCTTTTACGCTTTGTTAGCCTCAAAACCATGTAATAAATTCTTTTATTCACAACAGTCCGTGCAAATGTAAGAGATCTGTGAGTATAGAAGACAATGGAAATAGTTTGAAATTTCACGAGTTTTATCTATATTTCTGAATATTCTAGCACGCAATTGAGGCTAACACAGCGTAAAAGAGATCGCGAAACTCAACTATTGGCGTGTTGGTTGTTTTTTTGGTTCATTTGTTGATTGTTTTGTTGGTTGGTTAGTTAATTGGTGGATTGGTTGGTTGGTTTGTTGTTATGGACTATGATGATTAGTCACCTGGATCACTTTTTCCTCTACAATATGATCGAGCCATTCGACGTACGATTCAACTGATGACTGACCAACAAGAAGCTCTTTGAATTTTTCTACAACTGAAGAAAGATTTACACATAAATTTAAAATCATCTATACGCAATAACAGGGCTGAATTTCACATGCAACAAAACTATTATAAATGATAATGGCTTGAATGAGATTGAAGAAATAGTCTCCTTTACGAAGCTCCTCGCTCCTACATCTTGGAATGCACCTTGCCTTTGCAYCGAAGCGAGGCGACAAGGTGAAACGAAAGAAACCTGTTGATAACAGACTATAATGCGTCACTAACTACAATAATCCAGTTTCGAATTCTGCAATGCTCTGTGTTAGCCTCATTTGTGTGCAAAATATTCCTAATTGTGAGAATAAAAGTGTGACATATCAAATCAATTCTATTGTCTTTCTTTTCAAATTCCATGCGTTTTCTCGGGCTATCAATAAAACAAAAGAATATGTTACTTGGTTTTGAGGGCTAACACAGAGCAAACCAGAACTCGAAATCGGAGCATTACCAGAATGATTTGCCCACTTTCTTTTGTAATGCAATAATTGACAAATGTTTTCCAAATTTCCAAATTGATTAAACTATCTGAATAACAGAGAAAATGCGCAAGGCTTTCTGGTAGTTGTAGTAAAGCTACTGCATCGGCCTATTGTCTGTAGATGCGAAAGAAGGTCTCCATTATTGCGCATTTGTCTTACTTCGATGCAAAGGCACGACTACCTAGCTTTTCAATTTGCATCATATCAAGCAATCGTTTGACATTCGCGCGGGTTACATGTGTTTTATTTTTGTGGGATCCCTTATTTTTAAGGATGGGAGGGGACTAGGACAAAATTATATTGGCCGACATGTTRAAAAGCAATGTCTCTGCAAATTTTGTAAGTTTTAGCCATTTTAAAGCACTAATAATTATATATGAGAGCAAATTATGTCATAAAATACCTTTTTTAATTCCAATATATAGAGAAACATCAAATGTGTTCAAAAGMGAGAAATATACTAGGTATTTCATGGATAWWT